CGCCTAGGTAAGTCAACATTTCCAAGGGGTATCGATAAAGATTTTTCCTCTTCATTTTGAAATAACGGTGGTTTATTTTGAAAATGTACTCCTACTTTCATTCCTTTCATAAACTCGTCCAATCGATCAGCACAATCTGAAATATCAGCATCATCATTAAGAAACGATATTGGTATACATTGACCGTTCGTACATCGAAATTCATTATCGTTGCATACATGTATTTCAATATCTAAGCAATGTTCTTCATCTATTTTATTATCCATACAATCAATTTGACCATCACAAATTTCTTTCCAATCTAAACAAGCTGGAAATGGACCACGATTGCATTCTAAATGAGTATAACAAATGATATTAGTCAAAGTCGACTTGCTTTCATAATAGTCAATAATCATATTATATAAAGATGTATAATTTTCATTAAAAATATTTATTTGATATTGACATGATAAACCAAATCTTGGAAATGTACAATTATAAAAAGTATCTTTATCCGAAGAATGATTACTTGTATTTGATGCTGATATTTGTTTTAAATAGAGTTGATAACGTTCTGCAATATCAATTGGTGCTGACCATATATATAATTGATAACTAGTTATGTTCTGTTTGGCAAGTTCAGTGAAAGTGAACTTTTGAAACAAATTGTTCACTTCAATATGATATTTTGTTAGCGATTCACTCATACAATATGTTAGTAATTCTCGATTGATTCGGTTATTTTCATTCATATAAGCAGGAACACGAAAACAATCATGTTGTAAAACATTGATACTTTCATTATCACTAAACCAATCAGTATAATAAGGGTTGATTTGAGATGTTGCCAAAATAAATTTCAAAAAGATGAAATTTATTAAGAAGTTCACGTAAATCATTTTGACCTTATATATCGATCAACAGACGAATGAACGAAAGAGTTTTTCTATATTTTTTCTCTCTTCTTATTCTCTATGATTGTCTTTGAATGTTGATATTTAATCTGCTTTATCAAAGACGTATTTTCATTAAGTCTCACTAGAATATTGAATTTTTACTTTCTCTTCAATGTTTGCACCATCAATCAATTTATTTAACTAATTTATTAGGATATGAGATTTATTAATAGCGGACAGTGCTAGGATAAAATATTAGTATTTTATCATTTCTATTCTATTTATTCACAATGAATTATATAGAGAATATCAGCAAATGAATAAATGCCTTTTTAGACTTTTCGAAAATTCTGAAGAAGGATTAATTCAAATGTAGCAGCTACTGAATATTCGATAATTTTGATTTTCACTGCATCAAGCTTTATTTAGTAATTGTTTGTCCAAGTCTTAGGGAAAACAAAAATAGTACCTGCTAACTGGAATACTATCCATTTATCTTATTTTATATAAACACTTCAATACTTCAAACAGATTTAGACAAAAGACTTTAGTCGCCAAGGTTTCAGAAAAAAAGTTTTGTTTTTCTACATATATCCAAACCGAAATTCTTAGATGAAAGTAAGAAATCATTAAGAATAAATCTTATCTAATGATTTAAGATTCGTTATATCAATAGAATTCTTTTGTTCTTGATCTCGTGTCAGATTCTGAAAAGAATAAATACTAGATGACATATGAAGTAAAGGGTATTAGATTTGTTGTGCATATTTGTATAAGATATAGGCATCATCAATATAATTGCATTACTGATACGTGCCATATTAGCACTCTTTTCAGTTGCATGATATTGAAGCTAATCTTTCTCAAGCTCTTTTCACATATGTTTTTTATCATGATTAATGACGGAGACTCTTTGAAAAAAAAATAGAACTACAATTGAAAAAGAGAAAGCCATAAATCAAGGGGGAAAAGACGGATTCGGATTCTAGGGATCTTTTGGATTCTTATGGGATTTGAGTGTGGGTGTGGATGAATGCGGAAATAACAACCATCCAACACCAGACATGCCAGTACCCAGACGAACACCTCACATTCACACCCATTCCCCACAGCCGTATCCCACACCACCCACCCACATCCCCACACCCACACCCACACCCACACCCACACTCACACTCACACCCCACCCACACCCACACCCACCCACACCCACACCCACACCCACACCCA